AAATGCGGTACCCTGGGCTGCAGTCCTCATTCTGCCCCAAGTGAAACTTAACCTGCAACTCTCACATTGTGCAAATTGTTCTCAACAACTGGGGAAAATATCCATTAAGAGAAAGCTTGGTCATATTATACTGTTCTCAGTTTAGAACGGCACAGTTAAAGTCACAGATGCTTCTTTCAAAACCGTCGTTGTTACTGTGGATTAAAGCTCAGGATTAAGTTATAAAACTTTATATAAATTATGAAGTGTCTGAAGGCACCTGTTTTTCTGTGGATCATTTGAACAATACCAGGAGGATGTTTCTTGCCCTCAGGTTTCTTCCCGCATTGTCTCTCTTGTGTTTAAAATTTTTGCCTTTGGTTTATCCTCGTGGTGGGCAGCTGAAGGGATCTGTGAGAGACAATGAGTTATCAGCTTGAGTTACTTATTTGTTGTTGTTTAGTTGCTCGGTCATGTCTGACTCTTTGCAACCCCATGGATGGTAGCCTGCCAGGCTCCTCTGCTATGGGATTTCCCAGGCAAGAAAACTGGAGTGGGTTGCCATTTTCTCCTCCAGGGGATCTTCCCGACCCAGGGATCGACCCCATATCTCCTGCATTGGCAGGTGGATTCCTTACCATCGAGACACCTGGGAAGCCTGAATTCCTTGTTAGAATTACTTACTAGTGCTCCAGAAAAGAGGAGAAACTAGAGGGAATGGCGCATAATGTAAATAAGTTTTGATGTAAATAGAAAAAAACTAGTGAAGGGAATTCTCCACTATGGTAAGAAAAAAACAGAAAAACATAGTTGTCAAAAATGAGAAGCATTCAAAAAAAGGACAGTAGAAGCTGTTGAATGATAATGTTGCTTAGCTCCCAGTTTTGTCTAGAATTTGCTCTGATGGCTAATAATGTATAGAGGCTTTTTTCTTTTTAATAACAACACATCTACAACATTTATAAGTATTTCATAGGTTATCACACACAGTCACAGCCATGATCTCATTTAAGCAACGTGGTTAGTTAGCCAAGACGAGACAAGGAAATTGAGGCCCAGGGAATGACTTGTCCATGTTCAAATAATCAGTGCACAGACAGCTAAGATGGGAACTCACATCTTTTGGTTCTAAGTCCAGTGTTCTTTCTCCTACACCAAACTGAGCAGGGGGCAGAGTTTCTGCTTCAGGGTCAGATGACCCAGGCTTGCACTCATCACTTTTGTTGCCAGCTCTGTGACCTTAAGGCACGTCACTAACCTCTCTGAATCTCAGTTTCTCCATCTGTGAAAAAGAGGGAGTAATAATACATACCTGTAGGCTTGTGATGTTTCCATCAGGTGAAGCAAGCGAAGCAAACAACTTACTGCCTGGCAGTGAGATAGGTTCTCAATACATGGGGCTGGAAATACTTGGGAAAGATCCTTGCTATCCCTACTTCCCTTTCCCTACATTTAGAGGTGAAATGATGAATCAGAGCAACTTTCCTGTCTATTCAATGATACAGCATCTCTACTTTAAATAATTCTTGAAACTAGCTTGTGTGAAAATTGTGTGTGTGTGTGTATGTACCTATGAATGTCTTTGGGTACACCTGTATATGTGTATCCACAGGTGGGACCAGATATGGTGATGGAACATGGAGCATTTGTCTGCTACAGATAACTAGAAACTGGACCGTCACCATAAATCTAACTCAAGCGGAAGGGTTCTAGCTCTTGTGACTGAGCTCCAGAAGCATAGGCTTTGTACCCTCAGAATGCCTGGACGGTACCTGGAGCTCCAAGCCTGATCACTTGGGAGGTTTCAGGCAACTCTCTTTAGCAGATACAGCTATAGACTCACAAAACTGCCTTTATTTTTGAGTATAGTTTATTTACAATTATTTATTCTTTCTCAAAATCGATTTAGCCTTGATTAAGGTCATAACATAAAATAATCTTCACTCTATGTGTTCCATATGGCATGGCATAATTGAACACTTTATAAATACGTTTCATTGATGCACAAGTGGAGAAAGCACCCTTTGTAAAAGCAGTTACAGTGACTTAGTTGAATTTTTCTATGGTAGCACTTCAAAAAATGACCATGAGATGGTGCTGTGCCCAAGTAGATTAAGCATGTTTTAAACAGGTTTCTCTAACTATGACACTTAATTCTTTTCTTTAAATGTGGAAGAATCTACCATTCAACTTAAAGTAAAATAAAATTGGTCACTCTACTTTAATATTGACTAGGAATGAGTCTTTTAATCACAGATCCATAAATAAGTCAAGGACTGTTTCACTGGAGTAAGAGGTATGTTAAAAAGCCTTATTGGGAATTGCCTGGTGGTCCAATGGTTAGGATTCCTGTGCTTTTGCTGCCAAGGGCGTGGGTCCAATCCCTGTTCAGGGAGCTAAGATCCTGCAAGCTGTGTGATGGGGTGAAAAAAAAAAAAAACACCCAAAAAACTTAGTAATCCAAAAGTCCCCAGACTTAACAAAGAGCCCAAAATTACCATTTTATTTAGGATCAATCAAGTATGTAAAAGGAACATTGCTTTCATCACCCTCATAGAATTGTGTTAGTCTTCCCACAAAATTAGGTCAACTTCCAGTTTATTTAAAGAGCTGACACCTCTGTTACATTTTAATCTGCTTTGACAGCAATGGAAGATCATAGAAACCTTAGAACATGAAATTCACATTTAAATTGACATGATACAAACATGCACACATGTGTATATACTAAATGTTTTCAGTAATGAGTCTTGCTTTCCTCCATATAAATATATAAATATTGAATAAAGTGCATGGGAACATGTCTGTACAAGTATACAGATACATGTTTGTCTATATACACTTGAAGAGATAATTATGGAGAGAAAAACATACACATTTGTAATATATATGTAGTCAAAAGACATATCAGGCAGTATTTATGTTCATTCTGACCAAGATTGAGTATATGGGTGTAGAATCTGTAGTCTTTACTATATAACGAGATGTGCAGAGTTATAAACTAAGGCAAAATACATTAGAGCAGAGACTTTTAAACCTTTGTATCAGTTAGAATGGTATAATCATTAAAATAGTTCAGTTCAAATGGAGCCTAGGTATTAGCAGCTTACCATAAATTCTAGCTTTGAAAAAGACACCTTTCAATGTACTTAAAAGGACATAATTATTAATAGGATAACCCTAAATGCATTTCCAAACTACATGATGGTATTTCCCATGTTCTTTATTTTCAAATAGAGTTTTTTTCCCAAATGTCGTAGAGCAGAAAACTACTTTTGATTCATAGAGAGGCTGCAGTATTGTAATAATATATCTAACATCTGTTCCAATAAGAAAGTGCAGTTTAACTTAGAGTAATGTAATATCAAGGTGAATTAACTGCTGTTCATCTCTGTCTCTTTAGCAAACTTTCCTACAAAATATTACATTACCACTTTTTTAGGGGTAGGGAGTCCAGTGTCAGTGAGTAATAAATGAGCTTGTTTTTAGGAAAGTGGAGCAAAAATTTCGCTCAATATTTGGTAGTCAGAGTTGGGGTCAAGGTTGAAGTGCGTATTCCTAAATTAATTTGCATATTTTGACTTTCAGTGGTATTTCTCCCCCTTCTTCATTTGGTGGGTATTCATGGGCAGCCAGTCAGGAAACTAACTGAGAAGACGACCCTCAGAGCAGAAACAAACCTGTTTCTGAGCCAGATGAGAAGGAAATAAATTGAACTGGTTCTCTAAATGTCTATTAATTACTATTTTTGATAAGGACCATTGTAATTAGGTTATTTTTCTTTAAAGGCAAAGATCTTGTTTTAATTATTTTTATAACTTTATACCTAGGGCATTTCGTCATGTAGTGTACACTCAGTCACCAGTTGTGAATCCAAAACTGAGCAGTTTTAGTAAATAACATACATTGATCTGAAAGCATTGATTTACCTAATGGATGCCAACAGGAGGGTCACTGCGTTTTACAGAGTTGTCCTAAGACCCCACGGACTGGCATGCTGCAGTCCATGGAGTCACAAAGAGTCGGACAAGACTGGGCAACTGAATAAACAAACCTAAGACTCTACGGCTGTCAGTAGCCAAAAAACCTGAGTTTGTTCCTCAATCCTGACAGTTACATCAATACTGCTTTACTGCTCAGAGGAGCGCATGCACAATGCAGTCATTAAAGGGCAAGATACCAAACACTTCTACGGTGCTGTTTAGGAGAAGCAAGTTCTAGAAATGTATCTGGTAATGTCTGATTATCCTTTTGATAGGTTTACCTAGTAGAGCAAACACTAAACAAGACCACATTGGAAATTCAGAATAAAGCACAAGTAGTAGAAGAGAAAGCAGCAATATTTACTAAATAACATTTAAAATCTTGTTCACTTCTGAGAATTAACTTGAAGTGCAGCAAATGCCAGCAGCTCTGTGAATATTTGAAAATGGCATCTATGGAAAAGCAGGAATGAAAAAGTTGTCAAGTATTTCTTTTAAGTTTCATAGCAATACAGATTTCACAACACTGTCCTTAGTGTCTTTTTGTTGTTGTCATTCAAAATATGTATCATGGTAAGTTTTAAAGAGAATTTTTCTTTATGTAAGAGGCCATTATATATAACCAATATTTCACTATTTAGAGCTATTTTTATTTACAGCAAAAGGTACCCAACTCATGCCATCAATTAACAACATAGCAGCGAGGTTTCCACTTGAAAATAGAAGATAATTTAGATTTATTTATGGCCTCATTGTAATTATACAATAAAAGCTAATAACTTTAAAGACACATCATTTACAATGTTAAAAATAATATCATAAAGCTCACAGCTGAAATGCTGTCAGAATATTTTTGAAGTGCACGTTTTGTGTCATTGAACCCTGCTTTTCATTGACAGAATAAAATGAGGCATATAGATATTATTGTTGGTTCCACTAGACTGGCCTAATTTTCTCCAGTCTCCCAGTTTTTTCCCCTCCCAGAGAGGGAAAGCGGACTCCGTGGTGCCCTCCACGGTTGCTATGGCAACCAGTCCATCAGACACAGCTAACCTTTTCATTCACTGTGTTGCTACCGTCTGCAGGAGCATCTTCTGAATGCTCTTTTCCTAGAGCAACCATAGTGCAGTCATTATCTGTCGTCTTGTCATCTTTCTTCGAATTCTTTTTTGGTCCCATTTGGAGTTGACTGGACTTGTAGGCCAAGGCCGGAATAGTGTTCACTAAAATTAACTGCAATGGTTTTTTATTTTCCTTGTACTGACACTGAATATACCTGGAAAAGGCCGACCTATAGGTCTTATTGAACAGTGTATACACCAGCGGGTTGACTGCTGAGGAGAGGTAACCGATCCAAACGAACACGTTGAGCAGGGCTTCGATGACATCCCTGTTGCAGGACTCTTTGCAGATGACAGCCATTATGTTGGTGATGAAGAAGGGGCACCACATCACCACAAACAGGAAGAAGACGATGCCCAGCACCTTGCAAGCCTTCTGCTCGTTGCTGATGGATTGCATAGTCCTCCTGCCGTAGGAGCCTGGCTCCCTGTGGATGGACCGCTGGAAGAGCTTTTCCGAAGACAGCGAGCTCTGAGGCAGGAAGCTGAAGGAAGCTAATTTGGTCCGTGTTCCAGGATCACTCACACACAAAGTGGCTTCTTTCTGGAGCGACTTGATGGTGAGAAAGTAGGTGATCACCATGATGGTTAAGGGAATGAAAAAGGCCACGAAAGAGCCGATGAGGACAAAGTTCTCATCCGCGAGTAAGCAACTCCCCTCCTTAAAGACTTTGGAATCGTCCTGGAGCCCAAAGACCGGTATTGGCATGGATATACCTGGAGATGGGCGGAAAATGAGCCACGATTAGTAAGGAAGTGAGTATATGAAGGCAAGAGCATTACTGCCTAATGGTGGCTGTTAGAACAATTCTATACCAGCGTTGTTTAAAAGCTTAACATATACTTTCAAAGAGAATTAAAATTCCCTTGGACTTACTTATCTGTTTCATTAAGTATACATTACATAGTTCCTTATATTTATATTGCCCTACATAGACAATCCTTTACTTATAAAGAAATAGCAGTAAGTTAACTTTTCTTATGCTATGTTTTTCTGATTAGAATGTTATACTTATTGATTGAGGAAGAAACAGGCTGAGACTGAGATATTAACTGAAGAAGAAACAAAGACAAAAAAAATGACCAATGATGCCATCACTCAGAGATAATCATCATTAACAATTTGATGATGTTTATTTCAGATACACATACACACACCATGCACACACATTTAAAAACAAATTCAGATTCTATTTCATGTACAATTCTGTAACCCTGTTTTTCACCTTATTCATCACGGGAATGATTTATACAAATAACGTCATAAAATTAAAAACTTAATGTATTTCTTTCTAGAAAATTAGGAAAATGAAAAAAAAAAGTAACAAGTTATGAATAATAACATGTATTCTTGCCAGTCAGGGCACCCATAATTTGCTTTTTCCATAGTTTTAGTTTTCCATTTACATGCATATGTAAATATATATATATATGCAATATTTTATGTATAGCCTTAAATCTCATTTAATGTTAAATCATAAAACTGCATCTATTTTTAAGCATTTTTGAAAAATATGATTTTCTAATGTGAATTTAAAGTAACTTTAACCTGTTTTGATTCTTTTTTTTTTTTTAAAAAGCTTTTTATTATGGAAAACTTCTGACATATACAAACACCACAACACAAAATCCAGCACAATGAGCCTATCACCCAGCTTCAACAATGATCAGCTGGAGGCCAATCTTGTTTCACCCATATCCCCACCTGCTGCAACCCTCCCATGTTATTTTGAAACAAATCCCAGACATCATATCTTTCAATATGTAAATATTTTAGTGTGTGTTTATAAAAGCCATGCATTCTTAAAAATCCTGATATTATCATGATACCATTCCCATTCCTACATAGAAATTTAATATTTCTCTAATATTATTAAATACAGAGTGGGTATCCACATTCATAATGTCCCATAAAAGTTATTATATATTTTTTATAATAATTTTATAAGTAAAGCATTCAGAAGGGTGGATTACAAACAAATTAGCAGCCACGGGCTTTTCTTATTGACAAACATAAGATTTGGGGACAGAATGAGCCAAATATATGGGAATTTGAGTCCATGGTCAAGTTGCCTTGTTACTCAAACTTGGGGAACTTTTAGAGTTGTTAGGCTCAGGCAGAGGAGGAGCAGAGGGGATAAAGGCAACAGTTGGCCTCTAATCACGCTAGTTTCTCTCCCATGATGTTATGACCAGATGGCCACCACCATCACTGTACAATTTTGGGGAAGTGGGAATGTCTTCCTTTACTGGTCTGGGAATGGTCAGGCCCGGAAATCATGTGTTTGTCATAAAGGAAGAATCAGGATGATGCAGAAAGAATCAAATATTCTTTTTTTTTTTTTTTTAGTTGTTTTATTTTTGGCTGTGCTGGGTCTTCATTGCTTTCAATGGGCTTTCTCTAGTTGCAGCGGGCGGGGGCTACTCTTTGTTGTGGTGCACAGGCTTCTCATTTCAGGGCCTCCCTTACTGTGGAGTGCAGGCTCTAGGTGAGTGGGCTTCAGTAGTTGCGGCACACAGATTCAGTAGCTGTGGCTCATGGACCCTAGAGTGCCAGCTCAGTAGTTGTGCACGGGCTTAGTTGCTCTGCATATGTGGAATCTTCCCGGAACAGGGATGGAGCCCATGTCGCCGGCTTTGGCAGGTGGATTCCCATCTACTGCACCACCAGGGAAGTCCTCAAATGCTCTTTATAACTTAGTTTAAGGTTGCTTCCTTTGTGAAGGGTAGAAACCACAGCAGCACCCTGGACAAAGTCAGCAAAAAGTTTCTATCTCCTGCCCATGTTTTCAGAACTGTATAACAGGGGGTGCCCTGGTCCTTGCTTCTGACCACCATTTAGAGTCTAATAAGCAGTCACAAACCAGCCAACAACAGTTTCATTCTCTCACTATCCATGAAGAACTTTCGTTGAGTTCATCTCCATCCAACCAGGGATCGGACTGTTCTAACCTCATGTCAGCTCACAATGGCCATCCTTGCAAGGAGGGTACATCAGCTTGAGTTATTGCAATGCCGGATGCAAATCTTCCTCAGGGACATTGGCCCTTATGGTCACAGGCTGAACTGACAGCGCCTGCCACTTGTCTGTGCAAGGCCATCCCAGGATTCTTGGAAGGTGGAGATAAATGACATCAGAACTATTCTTAAGGACACTCGATGTGCTTGATGACTCTTCATTTCCTTCATTCCTCTCTGTCCCTGGCCTGTTTCTGGGAACATGCTGTGGGCCAAGAAGAGATGGAAGAAATGTGGCTCCAACAGGAACATCCTCTGAGATTTTGGATACATACCAGTTTTGCTTATCCTTCAAAAACCTCTTTTTTAGAAAAAAAAACTTATTTTTAACTGGAGATAATGGCTTTACAATATTGTGTTGCTCTCTGCCATACATCAACGTGAATCAGCCATAGGCATACGTATGTCCCCTCCCTCTTGAATCTCCCTCCCATCCTACCCCTCTAGATGTCACAGGGCATCGGGTTTGAGCGCTCTGTGCCATGCAGCAAATTCCCACGGCGAGCTATTTTACACATGGTAATGTATGTGTTTCCATGCTACTCTCTCAATTTGTCCGACCCTCTTTCCCTCACTGTGTCCACAAGTCTGTTCTCTATGTGTGTGTCTCCATTGCTCCCCTGCAAGTTGAGATGCAGTTTCTAAGAAGAGTGTTTTGTTTTTCTAGGTGTTTGCACTATCTATAGAAGGTGTTTCCTGTATTAATCTACATGATCTTTGTTAGTGTAGTTGTTCACTACTTAGAATGGATGCAACCAACATGTTTCCATGGATGTGGTGCGGATAAAATGAACCACAGATGCAGAGTACCCAGGAGAGTGTTCAGTGCAAAGTAGATGTCCTACCAATGGGATGTAAACACAACAGCAGCATTTCCCCAGGATTATTCAGATTAAATACATTCACTTGATTTTTTCTCTAATTTTGTCATATTTTGCTTTGCTTGTATATTCTGAACTTCAATGTATGAAAAAGTGAAAGCTGCTCAGTAATATCTGATTCTTTGTGACCTCTTGGACTATACAGTCCATGGAATTCTCCAGGCTAGAATACGGGAGTGGGTAGCCTTTCCCTTCTCCAGGGGATCTCCCCAACCCAGGGGTTGAACCTAGGTCTCCCACATTGCAGGCAGGATTCTTTACCAGCTGAGCTACCAGGGAACCCCAAGACTACTGGAGAGGGTAACCTATCCCTTCTCCAGCAGATCTTCTTGACCCAGAAATTGAACCAGGGTCTTCTGCATTGCAGGTGGATTCTTTACCAACTGAGCTATCAAGGAAGCCCACGTTAATGTATAATAGATCTTAAATCTAAAGAAGTTAAAAAGACTTTCGGCTATTGGCTCTATAGTTAATAAATAATGATGTAATTATTATCTTCTGCGAGGGTGACAAAGGGTCTCAATCAATTTTAATTTTGTCCAGCTAGAACTGTTGATTGCTTCTCTAATGTGATGAATTACAGCCATTACGATTTGTCATGATACACAAATAAAATACCAACCATCCAAAAAAAGTGTATGGTTTTATTATTCAACTCTGAGCTGTGCATTTTCCTGATTAATACAGAGGAAGTCACCATCTTGAGAGCCTCTTGCCCTATTTGTTTGTGACCTGGTAATTTATGTAAGTGGCAATTCTCAATTAACCAGAATACAGGATTGCTTAAGAGAACAAATTATTCAATCATTTGGAATTCAGATGTGTGTCCTTGTTTGGGGAGAAGACATTTTCTCTCTCTCTCATACACACACCCTTCCAGAATGGCCCAACTTCTGTGGTCAGGGAGGGAGAGGAATGATCACAGAAGCCGAGATTCCTCCATTAGCTGTCTGGGGTGAAGAGCTACTGTAAAGTGGGTGGGGCAAGAGGCACATGTAAGTCATCGACTGGGGGGGACCTTGGTTAGGAGGGACAGAATGAAGCTGCTTAGGTCTTTAATGGCCATTCCTCTTTACATGTAACAAAAACACCTTGAATGTTCTCATGTACCATTCTTTTCAGGGCCTCACTCATAGTAGGTGGTAAACAAGGGTTTAGGGAGAGACTAACTATACAGTTAAAGTAATAGTCTGTAAAAGAGGGGGAGGAATTTTACATCAAAGAAGCAAACACTCAGAGAGACTTTGTGGATACAATAAACAATTCAAAATCGCTCCTACCGAGAGAGGAAGATGCTGGCAGACAGCCAAGACTGTGGTCAGAGCCATTTACAGTGCTTTAATTTTCTGGTTGCTTTGTTTGGTAATAGCTGCTTTTGAAGACCTGAGATCTCCTCTCACTTGGAATTTCTGCATATAACGCATTTTCCTTTATGAACAAACAGACAGTAGTTTGAGCTACTCTGCATTTTAATATATTTTTCTGAGGAGTGGAAAACAGCAAATGAAATTCAGTATCAGTATCAGATCCTCCTTGCGCATTGCTTATTTCTTTTTATTAAGACTAAGACAATGAAGTGAATAGGAACCTTAGATACCCAGGAACATGAAGGCTTTGGTTGGTGATCTTTCTTTTAGGGTAACCCTGTTTAGAATCTGCGTGTTAAGTTTGCCCCTCTGGTTAACATCTTACCACAGTCAGGGTGAATGGCCTTAACTCTGCAGCACTGACTGTGAAAAGCAAGCTTTATTCTCAGTCCTAGATTTTTATACTTTAATATCTTGGGACTGAAGGTATTTCTGAGACAGTGTTTCCTTG